GGGTATAAGCTACATCCTACACAGAATACAGGCTGCACACAATCTGATCTTCATGGGTCTACCTCATTTCTGTCTTTTAAAACCGACTTCCACAGCAATCACTGCATGTGTTACCCCCCCCCCCCCCCTCTTTTTCCTCTAAACACAAAATCCCACCCCCGTTCATTTTAGTGGAATTTCTTTTTCCCCTCTAGCTCATTTCTCTCCCAATTTCCTGCTTTTATTTTTTTCCTGCATCTCATTCACAAAAAAAACATTTATGATGTTTTTGTTATGTTCCCGCCACATCGGTTTCACGTGGACATCCCCACATTTCCTCCCTGTCCGGTGATTTATTTATTTTCCCTTCTCTCTTTGCACTTCTATCAGCTCGTGCTGCAGCCGCCTCACAGCTTTACAGAAGAGAGAACCCCTCTTTGACTTTATGATCATCTGTCTTTATCTAACTTTTTATTATTATGATTATTTTTACCAACCAACAAAATGGTCCGCTCTTACAGTTATGGCTTTGGCTGCTACTGTAAATGGGAGGAGTATTTTTTTATGAGACTTTTTCATGTTTTATTATTTTTTATTAGAGCGGAGTGGATTTCTGCTCGGTGCTGAAGCAGCTTATTTCTTGGCTGGAAACCCTGCACGCAATAAAAATATGTAGCGCTTTTACGGGGCTCTCCAGAAATAGTTTAAACGAAATATAAAATTTAAATAAAGAATTAACGAGGATAGCTTTTTTAGATCACACACAATAAATCCTCCACGTAATTCCGCTCTCCGTTTGATTTGTCTTCTGCAGACTCGAGCCAGGCGAGTCTGGATGGTGGAGGAGCCGGGTCCCGCCGGCTGCGCACCGCCTACACCAACACGCAGCTGCTGGAGCTGGAGAAGGAGTTCCACTTCAACAAGTACCTGTGCCGGCCTAGGAGGGTGGAGATCGCCGCCCTCCTGGATCTGACCGAGCGGCAGGTCAAAGTCTGGTTCCAGAACCGGCGGATGAAACACAAGCGCCAAACGACGCACCACCGGGACGGCGGAGGCCACGAATCCGGCGAGTTCGAGCCGCTCGAAGGCGCCGACGCCTCGTCTCCGTACTCGAGCCAGCCGCTGGAAGCATCTGGCACTGGGGAGGCTGAGTCGGACAGCGAGGCGGGGAGCTGCAATCCATCTTCGGCCGCCTACGCTAATGACAGCGGGGACAATGCACAACCCACGCCGGAGAAAGGAGGCCGACCGAGCCGCCCCGAACGCCCACCGTTGCCGGGAGCATCTGGCTCCTCCGACGCTTCCGCGGCTCGCCACTCTCCGCCAACGTTCACCGCGGATATCCCGGGCCTGATGCAGCTCGGCGAGGCCGGGCTCGCAGAGGCAGCGTCCGACCCGTCGTTCTCCGAGCAGCGGGACTCCTCCGTCTCCTCGACCTCGTCCTCTGCTGCCGCCGCCGCCGCCGCCTCGACATCGCTCCCCGACCTGGCCTTCTTTTCCGGGGACGCCTGCCTGTCGCCAAGCCTGCAGAGCTCCCTGGATAGCCCGGTGGATTTCTCCGAGGAGGACTTCGACCTGTTCACGAGCACACTGTGCACCATAGACCTGCAGCACCTGAACTTCTGAGAAACATAAAACTACAAAGAACTAAGGAGCGGACGGAGAGCGTGGACGAGCAATCGAGCGGAGGAGACGGCACTGCAAGCTTCTCGGCAACATTCCTGAAACATTTCTGAACTAAAATGATGTTCCTTTTTTAAATCTATTTTTTCGTCTTCTTCCTGGTTTTATTTTACGACTGTAGCCTACCTAGTTTAAGAGAGTTGCAGTTCATTTTATTTCATTTTCTTTTTACATTTTAAACATCGAAGGGATTTTTATTTTTTATTTTTGCTTTTCCACGATCGAAACTTTGTGGATTTTTCTCTCTCCCCTTGTTCAGGTATTTATTGCCTTTCTTGTTTTTTGTTTTGTACTGATTTACCTCATCAGTATGTGTGGATTTATTTCATCTCTTACATTCTGGTGCAGCTTCATGGATCCTTAATAACTTCTCAGGAACTGTTCACGGAGTCTAAAGGTGCAGATAGCTGGACTGCTTTCTAGAAACTATCCCAACTGAAGAATGAATTCTTTCTCTCTCTCTGAACGAGACAAGACCAGAGAGAGAAGTCCTGCTGATGACCCGAGTTTTAGACCCTAGTTTATTTATTGAAATTCTTTAATAGTGAAAATCCAAATTATTTATTGTACATATATTTTCATAGTGGAATAATAATAAAAAAAAACCCACAAACATTTAAGATGTGGCCCATGTCGTTTTGTTTTATGAATTCCAGAGGTGCTGAATGGCCTTTATAATAATGATGTGGATACATGCAGCATTCAAAATAAGAATTCAGTGCAATTTGTATTACACCAAGTATAATACAAAGTGAACATTTAGCAGCATATTTGACCATTCATTGTTTTCTTCTTTATTATTTTGTTGCTGTTATACGAGTGTAATATTTTTTATCTGCTATTTTATATAGTATAAATAATTCCCATGCTATATTTATACATTGCAATTCATTATAAGCCTATAATTCCCTTTTTATAAATCTTTTATAATTATTAAGGTTCAGGTTGTCATTTTACTAAACAATGTGTAATTTTGATCATATTTTAATCTTCTAATATGCATTTTAATTTTAACTCATAATGTGGACTGAATGCAGATTATTTTTAAGTGTTAATGCGTGGCTCCCTGTAGTCCCCCCCCCCACACTATCATCCACCACATAACTATATAGCCTGATATATAGCCTGGCATGGCCCAGTATGGTTCAGCTGGTGTTTACACAGAGATAACCCTAGAATGAGGTATTTTTCCAGAGCAGATAAAAACAGGAGAAACGGTCTGAGGCCAGGCTGGGTCATTGTTTTCCTCCATCGCATCAGCTTAGCTCAGCTGAGAAGGAGCTAATGGTTAGCATAGCACACCAGAGGCAGCTTCCATAGCAGCCTTTCACTTAGAACGTGTGAGACCCCAGAGCTGACCCCAGAGCAGCACAACTCACGCTCTATGTGTAGTTTACGAGCATGGAAGCTGACTCTAGCTTGGCATTGCAGATTCTCTCCCACCAGTAAGCTGCCAGGGTGACCATGGAGCAACCCATGAGTTAGCATGGCTGCCATTAGTGTGTGTGTGTGTGATGCTAACTAGCTGCTCCTCCTTCCACAGAGTCAAAATGGCGCTGAAGACAAAGCAGGATGTGAACAATGAGCAGTGGCAGCCATTACAGGATGACTGGCTCAGTGTGACAGGCATGGTGTGTGTGTGTGTGTGTGCGTGTGTGTGTGTGTGTGTGTGTGTTTGTAATAGTCAAAAAGAAAGAAAGATGCCTTTTCTTTTAGGCTACAGATTTATTGGTTTATGGCTGATTGTTAAATAACAATGATAACATTAAATATAATAATAATAACAAAAATAGCAATAATAATACTACTATAAATAATAATAATAATAATAATAATAATCATACTGATAATTTCTGGATATAAACAATTTAATTATAATCTAATCATCAAAAATGTATATTTGCAATTTGCAAACATACTGAATCAGGAACATTGACTTGGTTGATATTGGCAACACAACCAGTTAACAAAATAGGTCGGTGCATGAATATTGCAGTTTCATTGTCAATATGACATACTGCATGTCTATTGTGAAACAAGTCTAAGAAAAGACTGACCATTAAAAATCACAGTAACCTGTATATAGTCTGATCAACCATGCCGAAAGTCCAGCCATTGAGTAACAATGAGGACACACATATTGTAATTTGGATAAACCATCTTCTTTTTTCTCTTTACTACACATATGTGGTGCATTCATCATCGCATTAGAAATGTGTTCAAGCTAAATGTGGAATTCATACGCTGCAAACAACACTGAGGAGTAAGCCCAAACCCAGACTGAAGCGGCTTAACTCCCATTAGTGCTCTCTGGTTTTCTTTCAACCACAAGCAGAGGGCATTCCTCACTTCTTCATCTGGGCCTCATTCAAACAATACATATTTTGGTATTTCTATTGGATCCTTAAACTGTGGCAAAGCATGAAATAGAATCATTCAGACTTCACTGTAGTCTGACTGATGATTACACACTAATGTTTGATCAGCGTAATGAAGGCAGCCTAACTCTCCGTCAAGTCAATATCGCTCCCTTTGTGTGGTAACGACAAAACCTACAAAACTCATATGAGGTCCATGCAAGTGAGCACAAGTTTTAAATTCCTTGTATGTGCAACATACTTTTGCAATTAAACGTTCTGATTCTGATGGAGTTCCCATGGGAGCCAACAGGCACCAATAATAATAATAACAAGCACTTATAAAGTGTTTTAGATAAATAGAAAAAATGTATGAATAAACAAAAAAAATAGCAAATGCAGTAAAAGACACAATTAAAAAACATACACAAAATAAAATGAAACTAAAATCTTTGACAATAAAAAGTCTATTTAAAAACATGTATTCAAAGAAGCAAGTGTGTCTTCAGAAGGGATTCCAAAGGAGATCTGGTTCACTTCATTTTCGTAAACTGATCTGCTTCGGGGCCTTGCAGAAAAGCATGATCACCTTCAATCTAGTCCTTCAGACCTCCAAAAGTCCAGAGTTCGATTTATTCGTGGTCCCTGGCATGCACGCCTAAATATTTTTTGGCAGAATAACTAAAACTGTATGTTTCCCTGATTCTGAGTCAGTCTGGCGGTAGGGTTCTGAACTAACTGAAGACAGTTCTGGTTAGCTCAGGCAGCTACACAGTGAGACAGGATGTGACAAATGCACATAAGAGTTTGCAAGTTCCTGAAAGATTGAATCTTTCACACTTTGGTTTAGCGCAAATTAATAGGATGTTTACTGTAGTGTCATGCTTCGCTATAATTTATAAATCCGGTAGGGGGTCAAGTCGCAGGATACTAAAAGAATCAGAGAATGTGTGTATTACAATAAAAATCAAGGTTTTGTCCGTGTTCAAGGTGAATCGGTGGCAACAGGCAAAACAGCAATGGCCCCTGAATAGAGCCATGGGGAACTCCACTGATCTAAGGCACCCTCTCATGAACTTGAATCCCCCAAAAGGGCCAGAGAAAGTTTAAACATACGCATTTAATACTGACCTATGCAATGTTATCAATAATACATCTTGAACCTGTCACTTCAGCATCAGCTGGTCACTTCAAAGAACTTTCCAGAATGTGGCTCTTCATAGAACTCCAGAAGAGTTTGAGACGCATTAACATTTGCAAAAACACTCTTCATGCTAAGCTAAGATAACCAGCTACAGGCGTAGCTGTATGGCACAGAAAGAGAAAACAAACACCTTGAGAGTGAATTGCGTGATCAGTAAGCAGGTAAACTTGTCTTCTCTTGTGTTAATATGCTCGCTTGTCTTGATCGGCAGCAACTTCCAGAGCTGCTCTGTGACTTTGTACCTGACAAAAATTAGAGTGAAATAACACTTATTATGTTTGATAAATGCCAAAGGTATAAACAATACCCATCAAGTATTCAGCCAAGCCATGGAATAAATAGTATTCTATATTTGAAAAGTAAAAGATGGAATCTGGCTGAGCCTTTTAGACTGATGGGCCCAATGCTGCAGATTAAATGAATAATACTGTTCTGTAATTTACAGGTGCTATGAAACCATACTAATATTGTGAGGACTGGACTGGACTAGGACACAGAGCCAAAGTTTAGTGTTATATTATTATATATTATTATATTATTTCATACATATTTTGATTTTCCACAATTCTGTAATTAAATGTTAATGTTGATATTCACTTCTCTAAAGCATCTAAAGAAACTATTCTATTCAATAAGTGTTACTACTCTACCTATTCTTAGACTGATGGGGAAAGTGTTTGAACAGAGGGAGGATGGCACTGTGACTGTGTGGCAAATGGTTTGAATGGCTTATGGGTCTGGACTTCCACTGTTGAATAAGACAGAGTCACATATTAGAACAACAATATTTAGGTAATATTTGTAGTGGCATTTAAGTATTTGGGTACACCTGACATAACCAACGTCTTATTTGGATAAGAAAAAACCCCACATGAACGTTAACTGAGATGCACATGCATGCAGAACATGCATCTGCATTGCGACATTGGATTGGCCCGACCACATCTGCAGTTGGTCTGTGATTGGCTCTCAGCCAGTAGTAAATGACATCTGTGCAATTCTTACAAAACAATACTGGCCAACAAGCTGAAAGGTGTGCTTTCCCTTCAGCGATGCTAACAATGACGCTTCGTCAATCGGTGCTTCAATCAAGTGGGCGTCTTCCAAAGATACTTTTCATCACAGAATTTCTTCTGTTTCCACAAGCTGATGTTTTGTTTTGGTATGGTAGCCCCGACACCAATAAACCTTTGGACCTTGTATGAAGGCATTTCATCAGCTTCTGCTTCGGTGTGGAACGCATCTTTTGATATCTCATATCTTACATCTGGTCAGATAGGAATCACAGCCAGCATGCAGAGAAGGCACTTTTAATGCACAAATGGCAGGTGAGTATGGTATTGAAAGAGAATCAAAGCAAAACTATGGGTTAAAAAAGATTAAAACTTGCAAATAAAGATCCACACCTCTACACTAACTCTATACGAAGCTCTGTAAAGTATGGTAGTGGGTTTGCAGACTGAAGAGTGGGACTGAAACACAGCCTCTCTCTCCTGTAACCATCCATCTAAGTGTATCTTGTAGACAAAGAGATTACAGCAGAGTACATCTCTATGCTGGGAGACATATCTCACCTTCTGAGTGCCTG